ATTGAAATGTACTAACTACATTAGTGAAATGTATATGTGTATTGTGTGATATATATAACCATTGTTAGTCGTTATGTTGAAAAGAAAAACACAAAACCCTTTCTGATAAAGATTCAATGCTTCTTCTATTCTATAATGTATCATTCATTGTTACAAACTATTAGAAACACTTGTTGTTTAATGGATTGCTATATGTATTATAAGTAATATATTAAGTACAATACATTGATGTAGGCTACATTAATAATAGAATTTATACAAAATAAATAAATAAATTTTTAATTATTGAACCTTGTTCAGACTGTTTACAAATAATAATGATAAGTTTGTATGAGTATTTTGTTTTAATGGGTGGTGATATGTAACAGGTACTTCTTATTGTAGATTAAATGTTATTGATCAAGTTGCAATTGTAGCCACTAGTCTATATGACTCAATATTGAGTGCATTATATTTGAAATAAGATAGTGGTTGGTGATATATTTACAGAAGGTTAATCGAATCACTTAAACTAGTGCCCATATTGCAACTCGATTAATAGGATTCGATCTACACTAAGAAGACGTCCCGCTTGAATATTTGGGCTACCTGTTTCCTGACATTTGGATATTTCACACAAGTTATCTGTTCTCTTGTTTGTTTTAACACATCATTATGTCTATTAGTCTCATAATCTATTCAGGTGCATTTGTGAAACGTTTACAACATTTCGCTGTACAAGTTACAAAAGAACTTAATCAGAGACATCATGGTTACTGGCAATATACATCGAAAAGGATATACATTAATTAGATGTCAATTCTTGAACCGCTAACATCTAACTGGCGAACACTCAATATTTATCATAAGGAACTGATCAAGAAATAAGAAAGGGAAACTTGTTAAAATACTTTGTGCTGAGAATTCTATATTGTACCAAAAATAGAATATTGAATAAAGCCACTAATAATAATATATATGAGATTGATCGCCACTTAATAATCAATCGATTGTGAATATATATCTCAGTTCTGCAGGAGATCAGTAGCGACACAGAGAGCTCAGAGTTAACATTTTTGACCATGAAGTTGAGTGACACAGGATCAAATTTTTTCAAGCAGCATCAGTTCCTTCAAGATTATAGGTATACTTTGCTGACGAGTGATAAAATAATATGTTTGTTTGTTTTTATTTACTGTCACAACATATAAATCATTCATGATATTCCAGGATATTATTATCTATATTTTTTCTCCGAAAGAAAATGAATAAAATAAAGAATATGAATGTGATGTATTGCTTAGATGATAGGTAGATGCAGACTACCTGGTTGGGGTCCGCGTGACTATCGTAACCAATGGTTCGAGACTCTTGGTGACATTGGCTCAGAATCGATCACAATGGCGTAGGTGTATACAATCTTTGTCTTCCCTTAAACTATGAGATTTAAATCGCTTCATATCTTTCTTTCTACCAATTAATTCTTTCTTACTGTATTATATCTTTATATGTAATCTTTCTTTTATATATTACCACCACTGAATTAACTACTTCTATGAATCCGGTGTTCATCTTGTTGTGCTAATGCGGTATGGCAACTTGGACCGATGCATATACGTGCCTGGTCCTACGTTGCAGCTGACTGACTGACTTAGATGAAGAAAGATGGTTTAATGAATAAGTCATTTAAGTTTTAGCAATTAAGTTACAGTTTCGATTTCACTTACTTACGCCTATTACTCCCAATGGAACATAGGCTGCCGACCAACATTCTCCCCCCCCCTGAAGTCACTTTTGAGCTACTACCAGTCTCAAGCCCGAATAATTGAGGAGGGTTGGACATGGGAATAGTGATCCCATCCTGTAGAAAACTAACTCGCTAAAACAAAACCCTAACCAGTTAAGATCTAATCTCCATTTATATCATTTTGGTTAATGTCACTAGTTTCTTTGGACTTTATGTGTAATACATAGTTAAGTACACAGAAATTTGTATCTGATAAGTAAGTAAATAGAGAAATGAAATTTATTTTTTAATCATTCAGATGAACACATTAACTATTTTTTTTCGATTATTTATAGATTATTGATATCGTTTTGGAGATATTTCATCTTGAGTAAAGTAATTAATTTTTTTCTCAAGATTCTTTTGAGTTTAGACTTATCAGATCTAGAATCACAAGTGGGTTTTATATAGATTGTCGTAATTTCAATAGTTGAGATCATAAGTCAATTGAAGCTAGTCCAAAATGGAAAACCTGAAAGCACCGGACAGCTAAATCGTCTTATCATGGTACACCTCAGCAGTGCACATCCATGATTCCGCCTCACAAGATTCAAACACAGGAACTGTCAGTCTTGCGCGCGAGCGCTAAACCGCTAGACTATTAAGCCTTTACATTTCTTTTAAAAGATAATTTAATTAACAGAGAACGACTAAATACCAGATCAGAAGTGTATGGGGTGGGACTTTAGATATTCAAGTCTTGTAGTGCTACGAAGTCCTTAAATAGAGAAAAATCTTTTCAATACTCTTTGATCATTATTGTTTTAAAAAGATGATGTCTTTGATCAATACAATACTTACATGAGATCATGAATATATTACGCAACAAATTTTTTTGTTTTCCGTTTCTTTTGTTGATTCGATAAACAATGGGTAATCATATAGATTCTTAAAAATGTATAGTAAGATGAATAGTAAGTTATATTAAAGGATAGGTCTAATATTTATAAAGAAAACAATAGAAAACCAGTAATTCATACGTCAGAAAACAGAACAAATATCAAAAATATAATCGGATAATCAATGCCCTATATCATGGATTGACTGAATGTAACCATGTGAACAATATGACTAACACTAAACAGTTTAAAAGTATCAGAAAGGGTTTTGACTTAGTTTACTATTGAGAGAAATTACAGAAGATAATCATACAGATAAACAAAATGATTCAATTACGTTAATATTAACTGTTTACTGATTATTTGACTGTATCGTAGCTGAAACCAATATATTTTAACTTGTGAAGTGTAATATGCTAAGTACATTAAATGTTTGTTTGTTATCTATAAACTTCGGTCTTAGCTAATAGCTTATATTTATTGTCAATATTATGTATAATTCTAGTATTTAACTAATAAACGTTATATGTATTTACTCAGAGCATGAATCCAATAAGTTAAAACAATAACCAGGCTATTACAGTATAATTAATTTGATCTAAAAAACTAGATCCTAGTGGAGGAAGAAATCAGGAAAAATCGCTGGAAGTGAATAGAACACACACTGAGAAAAGCACCCAACTATGTCACAAGACAAGTCCTCACATGGAATTCTCAAAGTCAAAGAAGAGGTAGAAGACCGAAGAAGACATTACACCGAAAAATACAGATAGACATGGGAGGAATGACGAACAATTAGATAGAAGTAGGAAAGAAGTCCGATGACAGAGTGGGATGGAGAATGCTGGTTGTTGGCATATGCTCCATAGGGATTAACAGGCATAAGTAAGTAATGAATAGGATGGAACAGACAGAACGGTCTATAAAAATATTTCTTGAATAAATGATTAAGTCATTGAAAAGGATAACGATTTCGTTGTTTTTGGTTCAAATGTCTAAATGTTACTAAATGGTTGAATATTTAAATCATTCTTTCCATAACATAATTAATAATCTAATATAAGGTGTCAGATATCACACTTTATATTATCAATAATTGTATCATTAATTATGTATGGAGGTTCTGCCTGGACATAAAATTGCCTATCTATTATCCAAGTCATTACATAATTGTGTTAAATATTGCTCATTACGATTATGAACATGGTTCATTCAAAGGAAAATCACAAAAATATGCCATTAGTTTACTTATGAATGTCAATGTTCAAATAAAATGTACTTGGATATGAGATAGGGGAGAAGGTTTATAAATCAGGTGGATGATTTCGCTGGAATTTTGTACTCTAAGTTGGATGGTTTAATCGTGGAACTTTCATCGTTTATGCTGATGATTTTGTTCCGAAGATTTATGAAAGCTTCACGAACAAATCATCCAGTTCAGTGTACTTGGATGTGTTTCATGTCACTATATACCTCATCTTATATGTTAATTTATGTGATGAAAAGTGAACTTTGTATGTAACATTATAAGCTGAAAAGAAACAAAACAATTTATTCCTTAAATTTAATACATATATATTCATATTTTTGTGTATATTCAATATGTTATGCGATCATTGATCGGAATAACTATACATGTGATGTGAATGTGTATATGAATAGCGCGAATGGTCCATCAGGGTGCTTGATACCTGTGTGATTGCGCCACAGGATTGAGCTATACTATTCAGATTGTAGCGTTAAATCCTATATGGTGTCTGGTTCTCCTGTAAAACAGGATTGAACTGTACTTCTCGGGTTGTCACGTGAAAGCCTGGATGGTATCTGGTTCTCTTGAAAACCAATATAAAATTACCCTGACCCACAAAGGTATATTATATAACTATTATATATAAAAATGTAACCCACTGAAAGTTGGAATATTTCCACCACTGTGGAGTATTTGTGTTCTATAAAAGAAATGAGAACTATTTACAAACATCTATTTATACGCTAGTCAAATAGAGACAGTCATGTGAAGAATGAACAACAATTGGATAGAATTAGAAAAGAAGACTCAGGACAGACTAGACTGGCGAATACTGGTTGTCAGCCTATGCTCCATTGGGAGTAACAGACGTAAGAAAGTAACTAATTCACTCTACAGGTAACTAACTTATTAACTTACAGTATTGTGATCAATACGAGTAATACTCAAGATATAACTTAACACAATTCATCTTGTTACATAACAAAACTATGTAACCATTCACTTATTATTACATAATCCAAAACTTCAATATATATATATATATATATATATATATCCATTTGATCAATTTATATTCATGTAATATCTTTTTAGATAAAATTCAACAACAACAACAACAAAACATACAATACAAATATGAACTTACTTTTTAGTATATTGATTTATTTCTATTTCTTCTTTCAAATAATAAATAAACTCAAGACATTGTTATTCAATACATAATGAAAAAGTTCCATTAGATGATTATCTTTGATTAGAAAAAGGTCTAGTTCAAATAAAATATCCAATTCATCGGTTTAATACGTAATGAAAATGTTTGTTGGTTTTTTTTGTTTTTGCTTTTGCTTGTTTGTTTGTTTGTTTGTTTGTTTATTCGATGAATTTTCTTCAAGAGATTTTCTTCAAGTTTTTTTTTTCTTGGTTTTATTTTATTTTTTTCTTGTTTTTGAGTAATATCATCTTAAATTTTACAAGTATTTATCTTATTCATATTCATAAAATACCAATTATAACTAATGTATATTTGATTATAGGTTATTTTAATTGACCAATCATATGATAGAATTAGATTAGGCGGATAAGTTGGTTTCAAAGAAATGGACCAATCAGATATAAGCTATTAGATATTTATTAACCAATCAGGTTTATGTTTTTGTTTTTTTTTAATATATTTATGAAGAATAACATTACAAACAAGTTTGTTATGTCCTTTTAAAAAAAAAGTGTCTGAATATTAAATGAAGCATGAATAAAACATATATTATTAAAGTGAACAATTTTATTAAACATAATTAAATAATTTCTTTTGAAAGTAAAGATGGATAATGGAGTAGCAGTGGAATTAAGGATACTCTTTTTATCTTATTTGGGACTGGTCAGTTGAATGTGTCTACATCTCAATGTTGGTATACACTCTGAGACGTGATGGAATTTGAAACAAATGTTGCCGGGTTCGAGTCCTGGAATGAACATCAATTCTGAGATGCAGTTACATTCAACTGACGAGTTACAAATAGGACGAAGACATGCATCCTGAATTTAAGTGGTAACCACTATCCATCTTTACTTATAATGTTTATGAATTCAGGCAAATATCGAGGCAATAACACACAGTACGCACATGTTCCAATAAAAGACATTAATTATTGTCCTAAACGTCAATGGGAAAATATAAGCAAACAAAATCAAATGAATTTTTGTTGAAGTTATTACTGGAATTGAACATTCTTTGGTTCACAGAAAATTTATAATCATTAAAATTAAAACGAAATTATTTATTTTAATTCACATTAATTTACTTTATAACATGGATGAAATGAAAATACAAACCTAATTACTTTGATTTTGAGAAGGTAAAGCAATTTCTATTTTTGGAATGGAAGTTTGCGGAGGTTTTAGTAATTTTAATAGTTGAATTCATGAGTCGATGAAAGCTAAACCACTATGGAAAACCTACAAATACTGAATGGTCGTTTTGTTTTAATATGGGACTCTTCAGCAGTACTCATCCACGATTCCGCCTTTTGGACATGAATCCAAGATCTCCGGTCTCACGCGCAAACGCTTAATTTCTAGACCATTCATTCATTATACAATGGTATTAATATTTAGCTTCAATCGATTTATAATCTTGCACAACCTTTCAGCTATCCAGTGCTTCCAGGTTTTTAATGATGGTCTAGCTTACATCGATGTCATGAATTCAACTAATCATTTTTATCGCTTTTCTAGAAATGAATACATTTTCATTTGACAAAGAGCTAGTCGATGATGGTTTTTGATTAGATTCATTAAAGAAAACTTAGATGTTTATAACTTTTTAATATTGAAATACAAAATGTATTGAGTATGTATTGAATAAGATGATTAAATGTAATGTTCAGACAATCTGTTTAGGATACACATATTTTAACACAAACTAATCAATTGTAGTTATGGCATACAGCAATACAATAAGACTAGGCAGTATAATAGATGAATAAGGCCGTTTTGATGTAGACGTAAAAGCGAGGATTGGCTAAGCAAGGACAGCATTTTTACAGTTGAAGAACATATGAAACTCAAAACAACCGTCTTCAAGCCAACATAAAAGTCAAGATCTTCAATATGGACGTCAAGACAGTTCTACTATACATAGCTAAAACTTTCAGAAATACCACAATCATCATCAAATTGGCACAAGTATTTATAAACAATTGTATACTCAAGATATTCAATATCCTTTGAATGGATACCATCAGCAACAATCTACTGTGGAAGAGAACAAACCATCTTGCATCTGATGTGCAAATTAGGAAAAGACACTGAAGTTGAATAGAACATACATAACGTAAATCACCAAACTACATCACTAAGCAAGCACTAACTTGAAATCTTCAATGAAAACTTAAACGATGAACTTCGAAGTATACACTGCGTCAGGAATTGGAAGCAGACATGAATAGGATCAATAGCACCTGGGAACAATTGTAAAAGATAGTCAAGGACAGAGTTAAATGGAGAGTGATGATAGTTGGCCTATGCTCTTCCATAAGGAGTAACAGGCGTAACTAAGTTAGTAAAAATACTAGACATTACTAATAGTGGGAAGATGTACATACACGTAAAACAATTGTAATTGAAACATCATTACCGACGTTTACCAGGTAATTTCAAATAAATTGAGCGTTAGATAGACTGTTATATATATATATATATATATATATATATATATATATATATATATATATATATATATATATATATATATATATCAACTTGTACAATCAAATGTTAAAAGTTGTATTCAAATCTGCTTGTTTCTCATACTGTTAATACCAATATGTTTAAACTTATGCTTTCATATTACAAATGTCACATAGTTTAACATTCATTAACTTATACACAAATACCATAATATGTCATATACTGAATCATCCTAACGGGAATGATATAATATCGAATTGATTCAATTTATTTGGTTTCATTCTTATATACTACTTAAACGTGTGTTAATTTAACTTGAATAAGTAACTTGTACTAAATTGTGAAACATTTAAAATGTAACTTTCTACCTAACAGGGTTTTACAAAAATATAACATTAACATTGCACATGCAAGTGGCTATCAGGACTCAGTAACTAAGTGGATAACGCAATGGCGTTTAAAGCGAACAATACTCTGGGTTCGAGTCCCAGAGTGAATATCAACTCTGAGATACAGGTACATTCAGCTGAGGAAGATGCGCGTTCTGAATTCCACTGCTAACCACTATCCATCTTTACTTATAATACTTGTAACTTAAGGCAATATTGAATCAATATGCACAGGATGCACATATGCCAATAAGAGACTGATGATCAATTGCAGTCCTAAACAACAATGGGAATTAAAGAATACTAACTGAATATAACATTAAGTGATATATTAGAAAGTTTGACTATAAAAGTAAACGAAAATCTTATACATATATATGTTAAGTTATAAATCTTTCATATTTGGTGACGAGTATTCTCTATATTGGCAAGTAAGTTTACGATTGGATAATTACAATGATGAAGTGGTTTATGAATTGGATTATTATCAGATCTATCATCATTCATTCATTCATTAATTGAGGAGGAGGGGGGGGTTGGTGATATTATTGGATTTTTATGATTAATTGTGAACACCTTCATTTTGATGTTTCAAAACAATGATATACTTTACTCATTCCAATATTACAAATGGATACAATTTGAAGGATGATATCAAACAGTTTTGAATAATTATTAAAGGTGTTATATTTAATGTAGACAAATAAAGTAATTATTCAATTTGTATTCAATGAACAAATGCCCAAGGCAATGAGTCTTCATACTTTAAGAATCTGATATAATGTGATTAGCGTTTGTTTTTTTTTTTTTTAGTGAATTTGTTTTCTACGGATTAGGGTCGTTAACCCCATACCTAACTCTCATTCTTTATCCCCAAGCTTGAAACTGGCAGTAGTACCAGGAGAGGGGGTGCGTGGGTGGGTTCCAGACGAACATAAATCTTCTGGTAGAAACTATAATTTGACTAAAATAAATTTTAATAGAAGATATATTTTCATTGGGATAAAAAGTTCCAACATTAAGTACTCTATTGTCATTATTAACTGATTTATGCATTTTAAAACAGCCTTAGGATATTTTATAATTTATTATTAATTCTATTCATATACATATATATATATATATATATATATATATATATATATATATATTGTCCATGAATGAAATGTAAATTACATGCTGTGCTTGTTTAGTCTAATATAACCATATTCCACAAATAGAAAAAACCTATTTTCTCATTCTAACGGAACGAATATAATTTATAGATGAACCAATCAGATTAAGGAATAATATGGTTTCATTTTTATTTTTTATTTTATGGATTTCAGTGTAAAATTCTTTATCCATTTTGGTTAAAGAACATTTTAAGATTTAAGCCTAATGTCAATGCGTGATGAAAAACTGTAAATTATAATCTTTCATCTTTTAAACACTCATTTCACTCTAATCAGTAGGTAAACATTCTCAAGGCCACATAAGTGTTGTTCAAAGGACGTTCATAAATTATTGTCTCACCCTTATGTTTCCCAGTAGTTCTTTATCACGGTATCAATATTCTCAAAAATTCTTTTATTTTATCACGCATTAGAATATATTTTATAAGTTAAGGGGTTGTGGAGATTGTTAAGAATGATGTTACACCATTGAAAACCTGGAAGCACTGGACGGCCAACTCATCTTATTGTGAGATTCCTCCGTGACCAGTGAAGCTAATCCTTGTTGGGTAGAGACGGATATCTATCTCAGTAAAATGGAAGATGGTCGAGCAACTTCGTGGATTGGTTGAGGTTAGACATTAACACCATTGGATGTCGGCTTGGTGGTCTACTAGGTTAAGTGTTTCTCTTGTGAGACTGAAGGCCCTGAGTTCGAATCCCGCTTGCAGGACCGTAGATGCGCACTGTCACTGAGTAGTCTTATACTAGGACGGATTGGCCGTCCAGTGCTTCCAAATTCTTCATGGTTGTCTAGCTTAAAATGATTCATGATTTCAACTATTAAAATTTTATAGAATGTTACGATTGTGATAAAATGTAATACTAATTTAAAACGTGTAGATATTAAGCTTAAATCTAAAGTTTACCATTCCATTTTTAAAAGTTACTTTAAAAGTCTTCATGTTTTGGCTATTCTTTCAACGTTTAACATCTTTATAAAATGTAATAGGTAAATCTTCATATTGAAATGCATTAATATAGATGATATTTGTAAGATGATGGGTTCGTCCATTTTCTCAAGAGAAAGTTAATCTGAACTATATTTATTTGAATACATAAATATTTGTACGAAAGGTCAACGAATAAATATGCGCCACATAAATCATTTGATTTGCGTGTGGACTGTGATACTGTCCAGGTGCCCAGGCCGAAACAGGTGGTTTCCTTAGGGGGGTTATAACTGGAGCTTTCAACCTACATGTTTGATCCACAAGGAGGGGGAGCAACGTCAGGAAAATCAGTCCCATGGTATTTTGTGACCAATAATATATTCATACACCATTTTTTCCTACAGGATCCTGGACACTATGTGCACCATTGGTTTGGAATCACTGTGTTTCCAACTCCCGTCTGTGGATACTCCATGTCCACCAATTTGGTTAAAGTGCCGGATATTTGCTTGTTATCCTCTCAATTTCGTAACCAACACCTCCGTCGCGAGAAGGCAGTGAGTAGAACTTCTGTGGGAGTAGATGTATACGCGTGGCCATGCGATAGCACTTGGATAGAGAGTGCTGGCTCTCCCCACTCTTGACTG